CGCAGAGCAGGGAGCCCCACATGGGGCTCGATCCCAGGACCCTGGGATCATGACCTGAGCTGAAGGCGGACGCTTGACCGACTGAGCCACCCAGGTGTCCCTATCAGCAGCTTCTTAAGGCTACTCCCAGCTACCCTTTCTTTTCCCACCCATGTGTTTTCCACATTCCCACAACTTATTCATTGCCCTTAGTATTCTGTCTTCCATCAAAAACCCAGTTAGCCAACCAGAAACATAAAAGGCTGAGGAAGCCATGGGAGACAGCAGTGATTTTTCTCAGGGGATGACTTCAGGGGTCAGTTCTTCAGTTGTCCCCGAACAGGTGTGTATTCAAAGCAATGTAGGTCAGCTAGTAAGAGGTGACACAGATGCAGAGAAGATCAACTTCAGCCAATATGTCTTCTACTTTTGCCTATTTTTATTGGCTAAACAGGAAGCTTACCCCTGAGATGTCCCACTTTAAACCACTGCCCCCATCTCCCAGTGATTTGATAAAACCGCCCATGTTTTGTGTCAGTGTGAGGTTCTGTGGAAGCTTCGGTTAGCACTGTAAGCTATAAAATGACTAAGAGATAAAAAAAAATGAATGAGGAGTGGCCCCTACTCTCAAGGGCCTGCCAGGCTAGGGGGTGGTCATCCCACAACCATCCTAGAGGAGGCATAAGCCAAACACTGTGAGGGCGCAGTGGGCGAGGGGGTGCCAGGGAGTGCCCCAGATTTGGGAAGACTGAGTTCTGGGAGGCTGAGACTAATCCGAGACCTCCCTGCTACTGTGGGAAGCTCAGGGCAAGGAAGGGCCCGGTTTTCCAGCCCCACACACCCACCGCCTCCCAGGGCTTCTCCACGACCACTGCCCAGTCTCCTGCTGTTCTTGCTACTTGGTTTGCCTGTGGGGCTCAGATGTCCCTGGAGAATCTCTTCTCCTTTCCCTAACTAGTGCAACTTTCTCAAAAACCCTCCCAAGATATCACAAGCGTGTGCTAGTACAAGGCGGCTGCTTTGTATTTTAGAAAATGCACCATTAAGATTTCTCAATTTCATGGTAAATTTTTGCATTTAAGAATTAGTCCTGGGGTGCCTGGGTGGCTCAGTCGGTTAGGCGTCTGCCTTTGGCTCAGGTCATGATCCCAGAGTCCTGGGATCGAGCCCCACATCGGGCTCCCTCCTCCGCGGGGAGCCTGCTTCTCCCTCTCCCACTCTCCGTTTGTGTTCCCTCTCTTGCTGTGTCTTTCTCTGTCAAATAAATAAATAAAATCTTTAAAAAAATAAAATAAAATAAAAAATAAAAAAGGGAAAACCTCTCTGTTTAGCCTTTGCATAGCATTCCTCCTGGCAGGTGTGGGCTGACAGCAATGTGATTGGCAGTTATACTTGATTTAATATTCTTGGGGTTCATGGCATTAAACCAAGTACTATATATAGGTGCAGAGGCACTTAAGTTTTACCATGATCTTCATTTAGCAAAAATGTTAAGAAGCCAGTGGTTTTTAAGAATAGAATTAACAAAGATTCATCAATTCAATAAACATTTAGTGAGCTCCTACCAAATGCTAAACATTTTCTAGGTACTGGGTAATGAATAAAGTAATTCATGATCCCTATTCTCATAGATCTTACACTGGGGGGCTTGGGGAGAATAGAGAAAAAATATACATATAATGGGGTCAAAGGATAAAGAGTAAAGGCAAGTGTAGTGGTTTACATAAAGTTGTCAGGGAAGTTCTCTTTCATAGATCTTTGGACAGAGATCAAAGGAAGTAAGGAAGCAAATCATACTGGTATCTGAGGAAAGAACATTTGAGGCAGAAAATAGTAAGTACATAGGCCCTGGGGTGGGAGCCTGCCTGACATGTTCAGCCAACAGCAAGGAGACTCATGCTGAGTTAAATTAGATGAATGTCTTCTTGCAATTAGGATGAGAGGGAGAAATGTTACTAGAGCACAGTGAGCTGGGAAAGGGGAACAGGGGCAGATCACACAGATCATAGTGAAGATTTTTGATTTTATAAATGACAGAAGAGAAGCTACTCTGAAGATTTTCAGAACAAGAGTGGCATTTGTGTATAGAATAACCTGGTCATTGTGTGAAAAAGGTACTACTGGGGAGCAGGGGATGAATCAGGAGACTAGTCTGGAAGCCATCACCACAGTCCAGGAGAAGATGATGGTGGCCTACTGTAGGGTAGCTAGTAGAGTAAGTAAGTTTCTGGATGTGTTTTATAGGTAGAGCCAACAGGATTTATCATTGGATTAGATGTGTAGTGTGAGAAAACAAAGGAGTCAAAGATATTGACAAAGCTTATAGCCTGAGAAGCCAGAATTCTGGAACAGCCTATTTACTGAGATGCGGACAACTCCTGGAAGGAGAGAATCATTGGTTTCATTCGGGATGGACTCAGTTTGACGTGCTTAAGCAGAGGTGTCAAGAAGACAGTTGATACATGAAACTGGAGTTCAAGTGAGAAGTCAGGACAAGAGATATAAATTTGGGAGTTCTAAGATTCACAGGTCCCCACCCTTAACAATTTCTCCACTTGATGAGCTATTAAAATATGCTTTTTTAATATGACCTCTTAACCCTGAATGATTGAATTCTTTTACGAGAACTGTGCTTTTATATCTCACAAAGCATTCCTCATGAAGATTTTCAATGTTATTAAGATTATTTTTCCTCATTTCCTTTCAGAACTGAAGCCACGTGGTGTGGCAGTCAATTTGATTCCAGGGTTACCAGCATATATCCTGTTCATGTGTGTTCGACATGCTGACTACCTGAATGATGATCAGAAAGTAAGGTCATTGCTAACATCAACAATTAACAGCATCAAAAAAGTATTAAAGGTCAGTTCATGTTCAACAAAATTCTCGTAGGGAACGTAAATGATGACAGAATCTGCACCGAGGTCTTTTCCTTCCTTAGATCGGGGCTAAGTTGCAGATATGAACACTTTCCAGTCTTCACTGAAAACTCTCACTGTAGGAAACAGTCTTTCTTGTAACATGTCTGTATGCCTTCTTGTACAGTGGGGCTCAGGTTGAACAGTAATCAAAATTAATTTGATATAATTGCATTAAATTGCAGAGTAAATTAAGTTTCTTCATAAACAGAAATAGTCTGTTTTGAGATCTTACAAGTAAATTAAAAATATTTAGTGTGGTCCATATATATAGGGAATATGATGCTCTAGTTAAAAAGGTATTAAAGAAGTTCAGTACAACATGGCTTGTTCGTAAAGAAGATGTCTGATAAAACATTAAAATTTATCTTCCAACTTTTCTTCCTGTTATTCTCCAACTCACCCCATAATTTTCCTTGTTACCTGAAATGCCTGGTTCCATGTGAGAAGCAACACACATATACTAAGCAGAGAGGAAAGACTCGGAGAAGGCAGCAGAATTATGTAATAGAGCAGAAAGCCCTGCATAACTCAGTAATCACTGACTCACCTTGCATAATCCTCCTCTTGCCTCGCTAGAAAAACAATGAACGTTAACTCACATGTTTCTGTGAGGTACTAAGAGAATGTGCTCCAAGTACTTTGCTTTCTGATTATCTAACTGAAGTTGGATGAGAACATTTAGGGTGGAGATAAGTGGATAGTAAACATGCACAGTGGACGCTCTCAAATCTAAGGTGTCTTTCATGCACTATTTTAATTGTGGTAAGATACACGAAACATAAAACTTACCACTTAACCATTTTTCAGTGCATAGTTCTGTGGCATTATTGTGGCATCATGTTCACATTGCTGTGCAGCCATTATTGCTGCCCACCTCCAGAACTTTTCCATCTTCCCCACCTGAAGCTCTGTCCTCATGAAACACACCCTCCCTGCAGCCCCTGGTAGTGAGCCTTTGACAAACACGGGTTCTCTGTCCCTACAGGGCAGATATTGTATGGAGTTAGCTTTACAGGGGTTACTAAAGCATGGAGTTTCTGAAGATTCAACATTTAAAAATTGATGAATGTCTTCTGATATAACTCATTTCATTTTTGGTGTATTGATGCTGTAGTACATTTAGCCTGCAAGGTTTACTAACTTTTAAGTCAACGCCACAAAGACAGCAAAACCAAATCATGTTTTCCCCCTCTCATCCTAATTGCATCAAGACATTTATCTAATTTGACTAATTATTATACCAAATTGTTTAAAAATTAAAAAGGAGTGGGTACTAGCATACTGATGCCTTTTTTTTTTTTTTTTTTGATGCCATTCAGAATTGATGTGAGTTTGTCTCCAGTCCCAGTTTTGAATTGAAGTGTATTTGCCTCGAGTCCCTGTTTAGATTTAGCAGCCGGTTGTTTGACAGGAGTCCCGGTCCTGATGTAGAGCCATTCAGCTTCCCTCTCTCCTCTTTTGCACAGGACTCCCTCCATCCCATTTCTGATTCTCTGCTCAGGAGTTGTATCTTATCATTGACCAGATTTGTCACCTAATCTGGGTTTTAGTGCTTCTTTGTCTGTGATTCCCTTTTGTGCTTTTAGTCCTTTCTGATCCCCTGAGTAATCCTGAGGGAAGTGAGCTGGGGTAAGCTGTGGTTTGATGAATTTTTTTCTGCCAAAAGGGACTGCTAAGCCAACATCACCTGAATGACTGGGCATCCTTTTCTAACGGCAAGAAAATAGATGCCAAGCAAAGTAACAACCAACCAACAAACACAGGGTTGAAATTTTCTAGCAATGATGTAAGACTTTACAATTGCAATGTGATTTATTTTTGTAATTATAATGTAACTAAAAGAAGTGGGCCTTCTGGTGTCTTTTAGTGACTTTCAAGTTGCTATTTCCCTAAGGAAAAGTGAATTTAGCCTTTTTCTCTCTTTCAGAAAAGAGGTGATGATTTCGAAACCGTGTCCTTCTGGCTCTCTAACACATGCCGATTTTTGCACTGTTTGAAGCAGTACAGTGGCGAGGAGGTGAGGAAACCTTGATCACAAAACCAGCAGGACGTACTTTCTCTGTCCTCTTTAAGGAAAAGATTAAAAGCATGGAACATTTAACAGTTTAATTTAAAGATTTTATTTATTTGAGAGAAAGAGAAAGAGAGCAAGTGAGAGAGAGAGAGAGCACAAGCAGGGGCTAGGGGCAGAGGGAGAGGAAGAAGCAGACTTCCCGCTGAGCAGGGAGCCCGATGCGGGGCTCGATCCCAGGACCCTGGGATCATGACCTGAGCCGAAGGCAGACGGTTAACGGACTGAGCCACCCAGGCGCCCCCCATTTGTTAATTTAGAAACCTGAATTGAGAGGTGGGTTGGAAGCTCATGGCTTTGTTTGATGTTCATTGTTTATGAAACAGTGAATTGGAGAGCAACGTAGTTTCTTCCCTCTGAGAGTTTGTATTATGAGAAAGCATGGCAGAAATATAACGGGCATTAGTTAATGAATTACTACAAGCCATGAAACCTCTTGTCAGTATGTGGAAGTGGGCTTTTCAGGGGACTGATACGAGAAATATTGAACTATTTAAAGAAATTCATCAATTCTGGCTTTCCATAATACATAAAAGGTGATCAAACTGAACCATATCTCTTTAGATTGGCCCAAAAACCTATTCTGCTTTTATTTGCAGTGATAAATTCATAAGGTGTTTGATAGACTTCAAAACTATGTAATATGTTAATAATTATTCTTTATTAAGGTCTACTCAGTATGTATCAGACAGCACTTCTTATACACTCTGTTATTTAATTCTTACAGCATCTCTGTGAGACAGGAATTACAACCCAGTTTTACAGATGAAAAACTGAAGTTTGGTGATGTTCATCAATTTGCCCAGGTCCTCTTAGTCAGAAGGAGCAGAGCTAGGGTTCTGGGGCTGCCCGCCTCTGCAGCCTGTGCCCCTACCCACGGCTGTCCATGCCTTCCATTTTTTGCCTGGAGGGCAGGCAGAGAAGCTGACCAGTAGCATTTTCTGGGCACCCAGAGGCTAGGGCAGAGGACTGTCCTGGCAAATGTTGGAAAGCATAAAAATGAGTAAGGTGCAGTCCCTGAGAAGGTGGGACAGACAGACTAGAATTCCTCTGAGAGGCCATTAGCTGTCCTATCAGTCCCCACTTCTAGACCGTGTTGTCAGGTAGTTTGTAGGGAGGCAGGTGCTTGGCTTTGGGTAGAATCCATCAAGTAGGCAATGTCTGACAAAAGTATCTGCCTATACAGTTGATTTTCCATTTTAACTAATACCACCAAAAAATTCCATTCTAAGCTTGAGTTGAAAATCATGTATGGTTACCATGAAATATGATAAAGGGAAATTCTTTATTTATTCACTGATCTCAGTAGAAATTGGTCTGTTTTAAAAAGATTATGTATGCCCTTCAGGTGCAGTATTTATAAATAGGACTATATTTAATAGAACTGAAGTTAAGAGATTAGAACTTGAGGTAATTTGGTGTCTGGAAGTAGATGTGCTATGTCATAAGTGAAAATGCTCGTTCCTTTTTTTTTTGTTCCAAATTAAGTTCCCCCATCTTGTTTCACTGACACGGCTATTGGAAGGGCTTAACTGCTAGCTAGCCAAGTTGAGATATTATTCAAAAGCTGATTAAGAAGTGGAAGGGGGGGGCGCCTGGGTGGCTCAGTTGGTTAAGTGACTGCTTTCGGCTCAGGTCATGATCCTGGAGTCCCGGGATCGAGTCCCGCATCGGGCTCCCTGCTCAGTGGGGAGTCTGCTTCTCCCTCTGACCCTCCCCCTCTCATGCTCTCTGTCTCCCATTCTCTCTCTCAGATAAATAAATAAAAAATCTTTAAAAAAAAAAAAAGAAGGGGGTTACGATGGAAACAAACACACAGAGCATTTGAGAATGACTGTCTGGCATTCAGGAGTGGAACAGATGGAAACTCTTCAAAGGAAAGACAGCAGGGGAATCTGCTCAAACAAAGGAGTTAGGAGAGACATTTCATTTCCTGGGTGTCAGTAACTTTGCTTTCTGGTTCTAGGGCTTTATGAAACACAACACATCTCGCCAGAATGAACACTGCCTCACCAATTTTGACCTGGCTGAGTACCGGCAGGTGCTAAGTGACTTGGCTATTCAGATCTACCAGCAGCTCGTGCGGGTGTTAGAGAACATCCTGCAGCCAATGATCGGTAAGGCGAGGGCAGGGCTGATGTCGAAGCCTGTCTGCCTCACGTGCGCAGCAGCGACACTTGTTTGGAGGCATGTCTTGATACAAAGAACATAAAGTAGTAAGACTCAGTCCTGAAATTAGCTGAGGAATCCCAGACCCCCAGCCATGGCTAATTGGGATACATCACAATCACTGCTTCCACATGATTGAAACTGCAGTATCTAGTGAATCTCCCCACTGGGTGATGCCTCTCCCTTGAGTTTGGGTTCTGCTTTATACCCAGCAATATACCTCATTCCTTGTCCAGTTTTCAAAAACACTTTAAACTTTGGTCTAGGAAACTGCTACGCAGGGCCTCCTCATGGCCCACCTAAAACAAAGGAGGCTGGGGAGAGTTTGCCCTTTGCCTATTAGGTTACAGTCAAAGGGCTGGGGCGGGGGTACCATGGCAACAAGAATAGGTCTCGGACACTCCATGGTGAGTTATACATCTCAAGGCCCCCATGGAGTTGTCAAAGGCAAGGAGTGGTTTCTCACCGGATAACTGACTGAGGTGTGCATGTGTGTGTTTCTATGTGTGTGTTCAACTAGGTGTGTGAGTCTCGTGCCTCTCTTTGTATTCGCGTCCTCACTCTGGGCGTGTATTTATGTGCCTTACTACCTATATTCCTTTGGCTGTGTAGCACATATGAAGTAGGAACTAGGAGGCATATATAAACTGCAGGCTGCTAATTTTGAATGAATCGAATTAAATTTGTTTCAAGTTATCAAACTGTTATCTTCAGGCAAATTATTAGCAGCTTCTTTTTTTTTCTTTTAAAGATTTTATTTATTTATCTGACAGAGAAATAGCGAGAGAGGTAACACAAGCAGGGGGAGTGGGAGAGGGAGAAGCAGGCTCCCGCAGAGCAGGGAGCCCCACATGGGGCTCGATCCCAGGACCCTGGGATCATGACCTGAGCTGAAGGCGGACGCTTGACCGACTGAGCCACCCAGGTGTCCCTATCAGCAGCTTCTTAAGGCTACTCCCAGCTACCCTTTCTTTTCCCACCCATGTGTTTTCCACATTCCCACAACTTATTCATTGCCCTTAGTATTCTGTCTTCCATCAAAAACCCAGTTAGCCAACCAGAAACATAAAAGGCTGAGGAAGCCATGGGAGACAGCAGTGATTTTTCTCAGGGGATGACTTCAGGGGTCAGTTCTTCAGTTGTCCCCGAACAGGTGTGTATTCAAAGCAATGTAGGTCAGCTAGTAAGAGGTGACACAGATGCAGAGAAGATCAACTTCAGCCAATATGTCTTCTACTTTTGCCTATTTTTATTGGCTAAACAGGAAGCTTACCCCTGAGATGTCCCACTTTAAACCACTGCCCCCATCTCCCAGTGATTTGATAAAACCGCCCATGTTTTGTGTCAGTGTGAGGTTCTGTGGAAGCTTCGGTTAGCACTGTAAGCTATAAAATGACTAAGAGATAAAAAAAAATGAATGAGGAGTGGCCCCTACTCTCAAGGGCCTGCCAGGCTAGGGGGTGGTCATCCCACAACCATCCTAGAGGAGGCATAAGCCAAACACTGTGAGGGCGCAGTGGGCGAGGGGGTGCCAGGGAGTGCCCCAGATTTGGGAAGACTGAGTTCTGGGAGGCTGAGACTAATCCGAGACCTCCCTGCTACTGTGGGAAGCTCAGGGCAAGGAAGGGCCCGGTTTTCCAGCCCCACACACCCACCGCCTCCCAGGGCTTCTCCACGACCACTGCCCAGTCTCCTGCTGTTCTTGCTACTTGGTTTGCCTGTGGGGCTCAGATGTCCCTGGAGAATCTCTTCTCCTTTCCCTAACTAGTGCAACTTTCTCAAAAACCCTCCCAAGATATCACAAGCGTGTGCTAGTACAAGGCGGCTGCTTTGTATTTTAGAAAATGCACCATTAAGATTTCTCAATTTCATGGTAAATTTTTGCATTTAAGAATTAGTCCTGGGGTGCCTGGGTGGCTCAGTCGGTTAGGCGTCTGCCTTTGGCTCAGGTCATGATCCCAGAGTCCTGGGATCGAGCCCCACATCGGGCTCCCTCCTCCGCGGGGAGCCTGCTTCTCCCTCTCCCACTCCCCCTGCTTGTGTTCCCTCTCTCGCTGTGTCTCTCTCTGTCAAAAAAATAAATAAAATCTTAAAAAAAAAAAAAGAATTATTTCTTCATTAGAGTTTAAAATCTGGAAGCCCTTTTTTGGAAAGTTCTTTTCCCCTCTCTTTTGATACTCAGATCACTTTCCTAAGTTGAATGCATGAGAGTACGTGTGTGCATGTGTGAGCAGGTGTGTATGCACGTGCAACAGGCGTCTTCTAACGCTTGAACTCCTCCTGCAGTCTCTGGCATGCTGGAGCACGAAACCATTCAGGGTGTGTCTGGCGTGAAGCCCACGGGGCTCAGAAAGCGAACCTCCAGCATCGCAGACGAGGGCACCTACACACTGGACTCCATCCTTCGGCAGCTCAACTCCTTCCACTCGGTCCTGTGTCAGCACGGCATGGATCCTGAACTGATCAAGCAGGTGGTCAAGCAGATGTTCTACATCGTTGGGGCCGTCACCCTGAACAACCTCCTCCTGCGCAAGGATATGTGCTCCTGGAGTAAAGGCATGCAGATCAGGTGAGCAGAGAGCACCCGCGCCATTGTCCGCTCCCGGGCCGACTGCTGGCTGCAGTGCAGGGGCCGATGGCTTGTTTGCGGTCAGGGTAGCTGATGTCTGCTGCCACCAGCCACCCAGCCAGGGAAGACCACGCATGGAGCTGTCTTCTCTTGCCTGGCTGGACCTCTCCACTTTCATGCGGTACTGCTCCGGACTGTGCCTTTCAACAGGTTCTCCCCTCCACCAGCTGGGAACCCTGCTTCCCCGGGACACTGATTTGTTGGAGGGAATGGAGAGATGATAAAAAACACTTTGAGTTGAGATAGCTGCTTCCTCACCTTTTGCGTGTGTTTTAATTGTACCTAACAAAATACCGAATCTTTATCATGAAGATTTCTAATGTTTGCTTTCTCTTAGAAATTTATTTTGACAAAACGCCTTTTTGTACCATGGCAACAAGAACATGTCTAATAGACCTCTTACTAACCGGAAACATGCCCCGGTATCTTTTACGAAAATGTGCACTCAGTTTTTATGCCCAGCTGCTCCTCAACATAACCCATTATCATAATAGAATTGATTTTTTTTTTTTTGCAAATCATTTATTTTCTTTTTTTAAAAGATTTTATTTATTATTTGAGAGCAGGAGAGAAATAGCGAGAGATAGAGCACGAGCAGGGGGAGAGAGGGAGAAGCAGATTCCCCACTGAGCAGGGAGCCCAACTCAGGGCTCGATCCCAGGACCCTGCGATCATGACCTGAGTCAGAGGCAGGTGCTTAACCAACTGAGCCACCCAGGCGCCCCAGCAAATCATTTATTTTAAAACAGAATATTCACCAAGAGAGGAAAAAAGAATCTCTCCTACGTAAGTCTTTAGTTAATCTCAGGAAACCTTGGCATTCTTTTCAAATTTTCCATTCTGACACACGTGCATTGTAGTTAACATTAAGAAGATAATCCTTTCATTCATGTAGTGGAGTTTATTTCTCTTTAAGGGTTGTTTATGTATTTCTCTGTACATGTGAAGCACTGTTATAATATCAGACTATCTCCTACTTGCCTGACTGCAAAGTTAAGTTCTCATCATGTGTCCATTTAGCATTTTAGCATGAGAACCACTGTCACCTGGTTGACCACTTCTTGAAACCTCAGCATCTGTGTAATTTCTACATCTCTCTCCACATTTGGGGCCATGTCTCTTCCAGTGCTCCCCCTCCCCCACTTACCTTCTCTCCTTCCATCCCTGGGCTTCCTCAGGCCACTACTCCATCACTCAGGCTCTTCCCTAAACAGGGCTGCCGCACAAGGTCTGTGTGGAGGCATCTTGTTTTTCATGACTACCGTGGAGTCTGACTTAAGGAGGAAGGGGTACTTGAAGTTTATTGATTCTCTCCTCTGATGTTGTAAGACAAGCTAGGAAGCATTTTCTGGTCAGCTGTTTAATAAGGACATGGCCATGTTGGATGTTCTGTTTTGTCTTTCAGCAGGTTTTATTTCATAATTTTTGCTGTAATGGCTCTATTTCTACCTTCCATTGAAGTTAATTATATCATCCAGTCATTTACTCCTATATAATTATGATTATAAACCTCATGGCTATAATAAAATTTTAAGCACAGCTGGTAAAATTTAAGAAAATTGAACAGAAATACTGCCTGTCATTTTAACTGAGATTCCTGACAAAGCCATACATAAAAAACGAAGACATCTATGACAACATTCAGTAAATTTGCATTCTCTCCCTCTCTCTCTTTGTGGCAAAGGTACAATGTCAGTCAACTGGAAGAATGGCTGCGTGACAAGAATCTGATGACTAGCGGGGCTAAGGAAACCCTGGAACCTCTCATTCAGGCTGCTCAGCTCTTACAAGTGAAAAAGAAGACAGATGATGATGCAGAAGCTATCTGTTCCATGTGCAGTGCTCTGACTACTGCCCAGGTGAAGCGCCTCCCCCTGCTGAGAGACCCTGTAGCATTCAGCAAGGGTGACGCTTAGGGAAGTAAGGAGTCCCCCCCGGCCATTGCTCTTGTCTTTGAGCTGATTTCACGTGTGTCAGAGAAGACACGGATCTATACAGATCTTAAAGAAAGGAGATTTTGCCTGAAAGTTTTACGTTTTGGTGGGAGTCACAGTCATCAGCAGTCCACATTCAATAAATCTTTATTGAGTGTTTACAGTGTTCTGCATAATGCTGTGGGCACCGAGTTACAACCAAGAACAAAACAACGTCCTTGCTTTCATGGGGTATACATTCTCTGCATTCTGTGCAGCCTGTATTCCAAAAAGTAATTTTCCATATTACTTGATAATTGAATGATATTAGACTTCTCTATTTTTAAGACAGATCATTCTTGTTCCTTCATTTCAATAAATGACTCAGGGGGCTCCTATCTCAAGGCACCATACCTGTTGCTGGGGGAGATACTTCAGAAAATAAGAAACAATCCTTCCCTAAAAGGGATTTTCCAGTTTAGTAGGCAAGGCAGATGTACCCAACTGATTCTACTATCTGAGGTTCAAGCAGATTCTATAGTAAGATGTCTAAAGGAAGTGCCGAGGGGCGATACCTGTGTTCAAGGAAGGTCCCATTGAGCTGGGCATTGAATTTAAGGAAGTGAGAAGAGGGGAAGGGCGTTTGAGGACGGTGGCAACAGCACGAGGCAAGGCATAAACATGCCCGTTTTTCTTTTGCCAGTTATTTCTGTGCTGACTCCTGGGCTTGCTTAATGTTCTTTAAGTGTCTTGTAGTATAGACATCTCACCTAGATTATACATAGGATAGGTATAGAAAGCAGCTGGCTGGAAACAAGGGTTACCATTAACAGTAGCCACTGGGGTAGACTGAGAGGATTGAGTGGGACACTTTTCCTTTTCATGTAGTGTTCTTTTGTGTAGTTTATTGTTTTTCCAAATTTGTATTACTTCTTAAAATGTATAAATGTTACATTAATACATTATTTTAAAAATTCACATAGTAAAGGTAAATATGCCTTCAGACCAGCTCTCTCTCCCCTTATCCCAACCCAGCCCTGAGTAGAATTACAGACTATATGCATGGATCCTTTTACTTTTCCAGATTATAAGCACCCAGTGTGTGTTTGATAATATGCTGAAAACTTTGATCATTTCATTCTCACAGATTGTCAAAGTGTTGAATTTGTATACTCCAGTTAATGAGTTTGAAGAAAGAGTCTCTGTATCATTTATTCGTACTATACAGGTAAGATCTCCCAGGCTTTCTTTTTCTTTGATTCACAAGCACTGTTTTTTGAATGAAAATTTTGCAGTTTATTGAGAAAAAATGTGTTTTATTGTTTTATTATCTCATTTTAACAGTGCATTAACTTTTTGATAACAGCTTATTAGAAAAAGGAAGTGATTTTAAAACAAATATAAACATTCTTTATTAGTTGAGGACTTTTTGGTAGATTTTTGGTGGGGGAAAAAATCTTCATAGATTCAAAGAACTGATGCTCTGTTTTTTGTTTTTTTAATCTCAGATGCGTTTACGAGACAGGAAAGACTCTCCTCAGCTGCTCATGGATGCTAAACACATCTTTCCTGTCACCTTTCCTTTTAACCCATCCTCCCTTGCACTAGAAACCATCCAGATTCCAGCCAGCCTGGGCCTGGGATTCATATCACGGGTCTGAAGGTGATGTGATGTCAAGGCAAACAGTGACAATAAGAACCCATTATTTCTAGTGAGCTACTGAAAAGACATTTTTAAAGAGACAGTACTAATTATCTTTCAAACGAGAGGTTATTAATCGGAAATCTCCCTAAATACTTTCATCATCTTGGAAAGAACGATAGGCTTCTTTGTGCTGTGTTACCTTACCAGCAACACTCACCCTGGATCAGTTAGGTATCCCGAGGTACATGCAGGTGAATGACAGAAGGAAAAGGGAAAAAAAGGTCTCCAGCTGCCAGCATTTATTTTAAATCCTTGGCACTGCATCTAAATGGTATGGTAAAAATGAAAATTCCAGGTATGAGCTGTTGTTAGGAAGACACCTACAAAGAGCCTCCTCTACGCGGGCCAGAAGAATTGAAAGAAAAATTACCATTGAGTACATATCATAACAGTTCAGGAATCAGTTATGTTGATGCTGTCAAACTGGATCAAAGAAATAAACTGGCAATATGTAAAGTACTTGGTCAAGTAAATTCCTTATGTGTCACTATGATATAGAGATATTAAGAGAATGTTGGTTTGCCATATAGCATAGAAGTCCATTTGTACTGTAGTTTACTGAGCATTTTAAATTGCTGCTACAAACTGTGTTCTTTAATATATAAACGGTATTCTTATTAGGCACTACAATAATAAGCTTCTCTTTTATCGACTCTGTTTACAATTCAATCAGATCAGTTTTAACTGGATTATGTGCAAATATATACAGATTCACCTGCACAAGTAGCAGACACTGGGAAGTCATGTAGTAATATGACAAAATATTTGACATTTAGGGATAGGATTAGACAAAGTGGCTGTTGTTGATGTCATTATTTATTCAGAATGTATTACATTGATGTGCTCATTCATTTTCCCTGGGTGGATATCACATCAGGGTACAGTGTTCTGTGAAGTGACTTATTTTTAGTTCCCAGACCAGATTCCTGCACTGCATATTTTCAATCCTGACAGGTTTTCTTTCTTCTTCTTAATTTATTAAGAATTAATCTCAGTCACTATCTAGAGAAGATTCAGGTCTTGAAACCTTGATTATCCTATAAATTATGCAAAAGAAGGTATATAATAAATACTATGGTTCCATTTTTTTTAGGCTTTGCAAGTTCTGTAAATGTTCTCAGTACCACTAGATACTTTAAGGAGCATCGTATTAGGAATACTTTAAGACTTATGTAAGAAATACAAGAAGATTGCTAAATTTTACAGAGGATATGTTTCAATAAGACCCAGATCCTATAAGTTTCATTCTGAAATCCTAATTAAACATATTCTCAATTTTTCCTGGAAATCCTAGACAGTGGGTCTTTCAGGTTGTGCAAGAGCAAATTCTTAGCTTTCATTAGAAACTCTGGTTCTGAATCACAAACATAGATTTATATAACTTAACTGTTAGATGGTCTATGAAAAATGACATCTTATTAAAACATGTGCAATATTAATGGAAGTCAGTTTCAAATCATGATAAAGATTGTTATTAAAAGATAAACACTGTTAACTTATTTGGGCCTCACATTCCTCATTTATACAATAAGAGGGTTGGACCCTTCCATATCTAAAATTTCTCTTCTCTTGGCACTTGGATTATAGAGAAACTAGATGCAGTTACTCAGTAAGTTCACCCTGATATGGAAAGATCAGTATTTGGTGCCTCTTAATCCTGGGGGATTAATTAAATGTAAAATTACAAGTTGGTGTAGCTATAATCCTTCTTAAATGTACATGATTTACATGCTTTTTGAACGTGGATTAGTTTGGGTAATTTTTATTGAATCATATACTGCTGCTTTCAGGTTGGATACATTTATTTGCAAAATCAGCCAAAAACACTACTGATTCAATCAGGTTTTCTTACTTTTCCCCAGTTGTCAATGTGGTTTTCAATGAACTGACTCATTGCATAGGGCAGATGCTAAAAAAAATGCCACCATGGTGTAGGCTGTCCACCTCGGACTGGGAAATCCTCTCAGGCCCTTCCCCAGCTTAGTCCCTGTGTAACATGTCCTGTGCACACCCTGAATCTTGTCAGGTCTTCAAGAGCACACTGTAGCTCCTACTGCCATTGCAGCCCTTTATCATACCCCAGACAGCTCGTATCCTGAAATGTCTCTCTCTCGTCTCCTGCCTTTGTGCTGGAAAGTGCTGGAGCCTCCGTTCCACACCTGGGCCAGAATCTCTCCTGTTCGGTGATGGTCACACAAAGATTCTACTATTCCAGGCTCCAGCTTCCTCTAAGGCCTACCCAGGACCCCAGATGGGGATCTGAATCAACTTCTCTTAGCAGCCTAAAGATCTTTAGTCATAACAAGAATACCTTACAACCAGGGACCCCCAATACCTGGTAAATGACTCTGTGTGCTACTTTCTTGAGGCTGCAACAATAATCTGCTGGCCAGGGGTTTCCTTTAGCCCCTCTGAGGACAGCTCACCCTCTCTCCAACCACATTTTCTCACCCGGCTTGAAACCTACCTTCCCCAGCCGTCCACCTGCCCATTCCACCCTTCACTCTTACCCTTCCCTCAGCCCAACCATGCAGCACATCACCTGCCTGCTCACCGACTCTGACTGTGTGCAAGGCAGCAAATGGAGTCAATCCTCAGTTGCCCCCCGGCCTCCCTTCAGGCTGATATTGTTGTTCTCGCTTCTTGGCAGTACATTCCTTAACATCGTCACTAATTTGCTTTTTCATATCTCCCCTGTGATACACAGTGGGAATTCAAAGAAAGATCTTGAAAGAACAGGGTTCTGTCTTAATAGCTCCTTCTCAACAGTCTCCCCACTCACCTTACATACAGACTCCGCTCACATCTGGGAATGCAAGGCTGAAAAATGAGCAGTTTTCCTTGTAGCTTTTCTTCGGTTAAGGCTTTGGTCTACCTGACCTGAGAGTAACTATAAAGAAGGGGGAAGGTCAGATCCAGAAAGCAATTCCTTTGGAAGTTTTGAAAAATCTCCATGTACCTGACACTTCTATCATCAAGTGCAAAAGTACAAAAAGATACATTCCAAAGCCTACCGGAAGGATATTTGGGGATTCCGGTCAGTTTGTACGATTTGCTTTATTGCCTTTGTTTCAGTGGGTATTGAGAGTTGAGTTGGCTTTTTCTGGGTGAGTAATTATGTGTCATATAGAATATAGATCAGATCTTTTAGTAACATGTGAGGGCGGCTAACCCTAGATCAAGGGCACCTGTCCTATCCTGAGAAATCCTCACACAATAGTCATGTATCCACCTGGCCTCCCCTCCCCCTCTCTTTTTCGCCTTCTCTGTGCCCCTCCAGCTCTCGCTCTCTCTCTCTCTCACACACACACACACACACACAGTCTCTCTCTCTCTTTTTCTCCTTCTCTGTGCCCCTCCAGCTCTCGCTCTCTCTCTCTCTCTCTCACACACACACACACACACACACACACACACACACACACACAGAGTCTCTCTCTCTTTTTCTCCTTCTCTGTGCCCCTCCAGCTCTCGCTCTCTCTCTCTCTCTCTCACACACACACACACACACACACACACACACACAGAGTCACCAGAATGTAGAGTTCCCCAGGCGGCATCCTCAAGGATCCCCTGGGTAACTTCAACTGTTTGGGATGAAACAGAAAGCAAAAACGAGCGTGTGACCCTTACAATCTCCTGCTGAGAGTAGTGCAGACCAGGACCTTGCATCTGGCTATGCTTTTCTTAGGCACACGTCGTCCTCTGTTACCTCATTGTATCCTCACAACAGTGCTGGAAGGCCGAAAGGGTAGCTCGCTGATGATAATTTGAGAAAGAGATGGTCGGTGATGCGCTGAGGTCACACTGCCCTCCCGCGGTGCCCCTTTCCTGCCTGCAGCCCTGGCCGTGCGGTGGGCAGGTGGAGGCAGGAGACTGAAAAGTCTGCAGGGGACATTCTGTTTCTCCTGGTACCTGTGGGGTGCCCTGGGTCAGCAAGAGGTATTCTTTTTTTTTTCCTCTCTCTCTTATCAGAATTGGCAACTGGCATATAGGAACTGAGCAAGTGCGACATCCCAGGTTCTTCGTGCTAACAAGATGAAGTGCCCGGAGCCTGGTGGCTTTCTCCTTGTCCGTTCCCTGCTACACCTAGGTTTGATTTTTATGATGAGTCAGAGCTCCCTTGGAGGGTGAAATACTCTGCGTTTAGGTCTTTAATTAGACGCAGGCCATCTCAACCTGGCTGGAAGGCGTGCAAGCCTCCCCAGAGTTAGGTAGGTCACTCTCAACGCCCACTCCTCAGAGCCACATAGAGCTGCCAGGTGTGCTGAGCAGCCTGCAGCCAAGCCGCCTGGCACCTCCTGAGGCCTGTTCCCAGGCCAGCCATGTACAAGTCAGTGTGTCTGAACGTTACAGTGTGTGCATGCTGCAAGGGTTGCCTCCGGAGCTGGGAGGGGGCTCCGTGCATGCATGTTAGAGGGGCTCCGGGCATTGCTGGGGCCGCTGTTCATGGGTAAGTGCGGCGTGATTTCTTCTCAGGCTGTGCTGTGAGGACCGCCTTAACCCCTGCTCCCTTTCCTCCGAGAGCTGCCTTAAGTTCTCTGGAACTTCTCCTCGGTAAGGGTCTGACTTACCGGGAGAGGATATCTTGCCCTGTTTCTCAAGGTTTTGGGAGGGTTTTGGTTGGGCGTGGCCTCCAACCATGGATTCCTGTCTCTCCTTCCTGCATGACTGTCCCTCCTGGGACTTCGCCTTCCTTTCTTTTCTGTGATTTCCAAACAGGTATCAGAACTCAGCACCAGTCTCAGAGCCGGTGAATGTGGGCAGAGAGAGTGGTCCTGAGTTTGGGGGGGCTTTGTGTCACAAGGACGCAAATGAACATATGGAAGAAATAGATAAGTTAGCTTCTTGGTAATGCTTAAATGGCATGTTTCCCCCTGATCTTTTCTTAATACAGGTAAAGGGTACAACTGTAAGGCCTTCCATAGACATGCTTTAAAAAATTTTTTTAGGAACCCTGTACTATATATAAAAGTTTGAATGAAAACAGAGAAGAGTTCTGTAAGTTCTAATCCATTGCATTACCCCAAATTAAATCAACTTGGAGTTATATACAGTAGATTTCTCAATAGATCACGAACTGAAAGGTACTTTGTAAAATAGCTGCCAAAATGCATTTTTGTACATTTTTTAATTTTCTAATTTGGTCTAGCGAAAATGTTCATTAGCTTAACTTCATGAGTATCATTAGCTTCCTAAAATGACTGAAAATGACTAACGTTTCCTTAGTATTGTGATACAGCTTGAGATATTTGAAAGAAACATGTTTTTCAAGTGGAAACTGGTATGTATAATTCAATGCTTGGTAGGTCAGTACATTTTCATGCATTTTGCAGTCAATAGTTTCAAATATCTTATTGTTACCGTATGTTATAAAACTTTAGCCTACATTTCAGGCTCTCTAAATCACTTGAGCCATTTAATATTTTCCAACAAATGGTGACTTTTTCCTTTAAATGTGGATATGTATGTTGTAATTTATGATTGCTGGTTATGTATTTTTTGTGGACTCCTGGAGTAATGTTCACTTTTTTTGCGCCCTTGGAAAATTTAAATTGCTCTACCAATGTTACACAGAAATGAGCTCATCATGACATTTAACATATTGTATTTGAATTGTTAATTTTAATTATTAATTTACTGTGAAATGGATATGCCGTTTAACTACAATGAAACTGAACATTGCAGTTTTTCAAATATTTTTCCTTATTGGATCTGGAAAAGGAGTTCTATTTTGATCTACATCGAAAAACATGATACAGTTAATCATTGAAAAGTTCTTAGGTAAAATATTCATCCATTAGGAAAGAAGCAGAAATACTAAGAAGTGAAGGGCATTATCAACTAACTCTGGGTTTAAACTGAAACCGTCCCAGCATATCTCATGTGGAATTTTAAAAAATAAGTTAATAATTCACCTCATATCAACAAAAGCCTTTGAAACATGGGTTTTCACTAGTTATCATCTAGTGCTAAGATGAAAACCAAAACAATATCAGATTGACATTTACGCTCTAAATTTGTAGTTGTCTAATGTTGTCCTTAGTAAATGTGCATCATTAATGCTGTATTCTCCTAGCTATTATAGAAATTGTTCAAATAAAGATATGGAAATAAAGGATTTTTGTTAGTGTCTTATAAATAAACTCACAGCACATGGAACACGGGACACAAACCAACATAGAGTACATTCTGGGCTGTAAAACACACCTTTAATATTTAAGAGGACAGAAATCAGACAGTGTCTGCTCTCAGATAACAATAGAATTAAGCTAGGTTATTAATGATAGAAAAATAGCTGGAAAATCCCCAAATTTGGAGCTTAAAAACACACTTTTTAAGACTTTTTTTTACATTTATTTGAGAGAGAGAGCGAGTGTGCGTACTTGAATGAGTGGGGGGTAGGAGCAGAGGGACAGGGAGGGGCATAGGAGCAGAGGGAGAGGGAGAAGCAGACTCTCCACTGAGCAGGGAGCTGGACACAGGGCTCCATTCCAGG